GCTCATATTATTTAATTAACAATAAATATTGTAAAGTATTAAAGTATAAAGAAAGTATTAAAGTAAATACTGTAAAGTATTAAAGTATAAAGAACTCAAATTTAACAAACAATATAAAGTTAGTGGAAACATTTCATTTATTTTATAAGCGTCGTTGAGCAGCTGACCTAACTTTGGACTTACTACTACTAATGTTCAACTCCATAGCATTATAATTTTAAACCCGATCCAGAAGACAAGGGAACTCCTGGATCAAGTATTGTGAGAAATTTGACTTCGGGGAAGACTTTTTTTGAAGATTAACCCTCTTTTGCGTTACATGGTGAGGAAAACCTCAAAAACCTCCGACGATTACGCTGACAGCACGGGGACTCTAACCCATGATCCGTCTACCACTGGGGATATTTTACTTCAGCACTGTGGTCAGTGTGATCCGGGTGCGGAATTCGCATCGGCCAGCCATTGCTAGGATTCGAACTCAGTTCACCTGATTGGAAGGTGAATGCTCAACTTCTGAACTTCATTTATTTTATTTTATAACCGTCATTGAACAGCAGACCCAATTTTGAGATTACGGCTGCCAATGTTCAACGCCGTAGCCTTTTGAATCCTATCCAGAAGACAAGGGAACTCCAGGATTAATTACTTGGAGAAAATTTGCTTTGTGGGGGACTTTTTGATGGAACTGACCCACATTTGCATTACTTGGAGAGGAAAACCATGAAAACTTCCCACGGTTAGTCTGACGACAAGGAAACCTTAACCCATGATCCCTCTACCACTGAGGCTATTTTACGTTAGTACTGTGGTCGAAGCGATCCGGGTAGGGAATTTGATTCGAGCAGCCATCATTGGGATTCGAACCCGGCTCACCTCGCTGGGTGGCAAACGCTCAATCCCTTGAGATACCACGGCTCACAGTGAAGAACTGGTTATGGTCAGGCAAATATCCAGATGAATGATTCGAAGGTATGCTTTCAAAATTTCGATCCTTAGCCTAGAGGATGGTTCCCCAGTTTTGGTATCTTTATAAACTGTGCACGAATTCGAACAATTTGCGCTAGGTTAAACGAGAGTCGAAACAGCGCACTTTCAGACCAGAAAGTGGTTACCCTCCTGCTCAGTGACCTCTACCAGTGATGATTGACTTCAGTGATCCACTGATAACCGTGTTTTTTGATCTATTCATTATGGAACAATAATATGAAAAAAGGTTAGCTTCTCAAAAAAGGAGAAAATAATTTTTTTTGATTGCTCCAAAATTAAAAAAATAAATATAAAAATGTAAATTATCGATTATAACTAATTACTGAATCGATGTTCAAACGGTTACTTGTTATGTGTAAAAGTTATTAAAACAAGAACTACGAATCAGGTGATATTATTTATTACATAAATATTGAATAATCATTTTTCTTTCAGAAATTATCAAAGACACAAGTGATTAAAAATAAAAAATAAAATTTCCGCATTTCTGCATATTTGAATAAGAAAAATATCTATTTTATGCATTTTTTATGACATCATCTTGTATACGTTGTACTTTTGAATTAATTATTGATAGATTATTTACCAAAAATCCAAAAGTAATTCACAATTATTGTTTTCGAATACATTAAAATCGTAGCTAAACTTTTATTTTCATTCGCTCTATGGCTATTCTAAAATCTTTAAAAAAAACAGCATTAAATTTTAAGTATTTTTTAATCAGAAAAGAAATAATAAAACATACAGCAAGAAACCCATGCAACCAAATTATGCTTGTTTTTAAGTCAGACTTAAATGTTTTCTTCATTAATAAACGCACTTTTTTTTGTTTTAAAATTACATCTCCGATTCCCATTGAAAAAAAAATGATAGAAATTATTTTCCTTTCCAAAAAAATCAAAGAAAAAGTAACCACAACACCTTTTGGGATATGTAGCGTAAAAACGGATATCGTTTGAGAGCAAGTTGTTGACGCTTATAATGAAAGGTTTCATTAGAGGATTTATTCATAATAAATTCGCCCATTAGCGGAATTAACGGTTAACGGTAAACTGCGGAAAGCGTTACTAATGATGGTAACTCACGTGAAGCCTTTTAACTTAGCTTAAGCCATTCCGCGTGTTATGAAACTTTTCTCTTCCAAAACACCATATATTTACTCTTTTTATAACACTAGTTTTTGATTAATGAACGGTTTGGGATTCGTGGGAATATGTACGGTTTACAGAGTCTCGCTTTTTCCTTTTTAGGTCATTAAATATCTTATCTAGTTTAATCTGTTTGTTAAATGAGGAGTTTTTTTATTAAAGGGAATGAGAAATCCATGATGTAGATGCTAGATTAATTTTTAAATCTCACGCATATCACTTGCATTTTAAATCTTGCATTAAATTTTAATGGTTTAAACATAGATTCTTAAATGAAAAATTATTGCCTTTTTTGGATTTCTTTTCAGAAAGATAAAAATCATTTTTGTTTTGAGCTTATTTTGGATTCAGTTTCATGTCGATATAAGAGTTTTCATTAATCATCATTTTTAAGGTTATTTTCTGATAAAAGAAGCTATTTGGTTGATCTATTTTGTGAAGCGTGTGTTAACGGAGTTTGCTGGCTGATAACTTACTGGATGGATTGCTCCTGCTCTTTCATTTAATTTTAGCTTAATTGTCTGATTAAATTCAAATATGAACGGAAAAAAGTCCTATTTTACAGTTAAGACAATAATTACAGCATTATGGAATTTTTAAGTTAATATCGTAATCATTTGCAACAAAACTCCTTTCTTAATAATACAAAATTAGCACTCAGGAAAAAATATTTTTTAAAAGACTACTTTTAGTGGGAATGTAATTAGATAAGTGGTTAAATCATTGATTTTTTTTCCTAAAAAATGTTAATATTTTCTTTTGTTCACACATACTCATATGTTTAAAAATTAACAGAAACAGAAGTGAATATCGTAATCATTTGCAACAGAACTCTTTTCTAAATAATACAAAATTAGCTCTCAGGAAGAAACTTTTTTAAAAGACTACTTTTAGTGGGAATAGAATTAGATAAATGGTTAAATCATTGATCTTTTTTTTTCTAAAAATTGTTAATATTTTCTTTTGTTCACATGTACGCATATACTTAAAAATTAACAGAAATTTGATTATTTGGTTTCCTTAAATTTCAATATATGTATGAAACTAATAATACAATATATATATATATATATATATACATATAATGATAATGTTCAAAATGAAGATGAAACAAAGGAAAACTATATACATATGAAAAAAAGGGGGGGGGAATAATAATGAAAAAAATAGCAAATAACTAGAAAAAAAAAGGATGAAAATTTTTTAAAAATCAGGAAAATAAAAGGTATAAAAAATATAATCTTTTCATCAGCCCACACGATTATATCCGCAAAAAAGGATGCGGATATAATCGTGTGGGCTGATGAAAAGAGTATATCTTTATTTTCCAGATTTTTTAAAAATTTTCATCCTTTTTTTTTCTTGTTGCTTGTTATTTTTTTCATTATTATTTCCCCCCTTTTTTTGTCATATGTATATAATTTTCCTTTGTTTTATCTTCATTTTGAACTTATCTAATGAGTTCTGTTTACTTGCAGCTTATGCTCAATAAATGAAACTTATTCTTTTTCTTAACTTTCTTCGTGTTTTCTTGTATTTATTTATTTCGCTATATATATACAGTAGGGAANATCCGGAAAACAAAACAGAGAAAAGATATAATCTCTTCATCAGCCCACACGATTCTATCAGCAAAAAAGAGTGCTTTCTAATATTGTATTAATATAGCCAACGCAAAATATATCAATACAATAGTGTGAGTATCTATATAGAATAGTCTAGTATCAATACAAAAATTAGAACACATTAAGTAAAAAATATATACGAAAAAACAAAGAAATATATCAAGCAAAAAAACAGAAAATAAAAAGTAAAGAGATTAGAGAACAGTACACAAAAGGAAATATACATAGTGAGGAGCGAATTAAATGGAACTTACGCGTACCGGAATCTTTCAAGAATGATTTAAAATATTTTCGTAATAAGATTGCCAGATTACAAAATATGAAAGCAGAAGCATAAATAAAGTAATATCTTAAGGCACGTTCTTACTGCAATACTGAAGCGCGTCTGATTTGTTAGTTAACTTGGATGGGCCCGAAAATGGATGCGCGCAAGGTAATATTATTATACAGGATAATTTAAAGTTAGTAATTAATAAGTTTGATGATTAAAGTAATTTTAGAAAATTAATAAATATTTCAAAAAAAAAAAAAGAAAAGAAACAGGATTTGCTTGTTTTGAATTGATTTTTAGCAGGCGCCAAATTATTATTACTGCTAAAATCCAAAAATTAGGCTCAAAGAGCAATGCCCTACACACACGAAATTAGAGAACCGAATTAAAAACGGAAACAAAAAGAAAACGAAAGTAAGTTAATAGTAGATAATATCAAGCTGCTTTAAACGCTGCTTTTATTACGAAAATATTTTAAATCATTCTTGAAAGATTCCGGTACGCGTCAGTTCCTTTTAATTCTCTCCTCACTATGTAGATTTCCTTTCGTGTACTGTTCTTAAAACTCTTTGCTTTTTATTTTCTGTTTTTTGCTTGATATATTTGTTTGTTTTTTCGTATGTATTTTTTACTTAATGTGTTCTAATTTCGTTTCAATTTTTTGAGTGCTCCTCACACTATTGTATTGATATATTTTGCTTTGGCTATATTAATACAATATTAGAAAGCACTCCATTTTGCGGATATAATCGTGTGGACTGATGAAGAGATTATATATTTTCTTTGTTTTGATTTCCAGATTTTTAATTTTTTTTTAGATATCAAAAATTATATATTTTTAAATACTTTTGAAAAATATTTTCTTCTCTTGTCATTATTTTTTATTATTTTACTCAATATTTTAGCTTATATATGTATATATACATACATAGAAATAAAAAAAAGCTAAAGAATGGAGAGCAAACTTACTTTTCTCAATGTAGGTTCTGTCAATAGGATATCCCGATACAGGGCATCGGATTGATACTGTAGTGCCTGCCACTACGGTTAAATTTCCCATTGGTCTAATATACGGTGAACCAAAAACATCTATTCTAGCAGAATGGCTGAGGAGACCGACATCATTCTGCGCTTCACATCCATATAGTCCTCCATCTGAGACGGCCAAGTCTGTAATATTTACGTAACTGATAACTGAGCCATCCATGTGCACATAATCACCAGTTTTTACTCGCCGGGATTCTGATAACTGTTCACCGTCAAGGAACCATAATATCTGAGGAATGGGGGATCCACTGGCGGAACAATGCAATGATATCATTTGTCCAGGCATGTGAATTTGGTCCGGAAAAACTCGAATAAACGTTGGCATTTCCTCTGAAAATCAAGAAAAGGAGAAAATTGTAATTTTCTGCGACAAAATGTTTTTTGTGAAATTTATTTAAATTTATAATATTTTATTAAATGCGAAATATTAATATAAGTATTCCGAAATATTATTATAAGTATCGATGAATAAAACCTTGCCATTAGATGAATTTACAAAAATATTTTTTTCAAAGTTCTGAATGCTAAGTTGTTCTAAGGATCTTATGATTTTGCCTTTTGTTATGTTGATTTAGACCTAGTTTAGTACATAATATTTGTTCAGAGTAAGTTTGTATTGTTTACGATCTCGTCCCGATAAATATTTGCTCAATAAAAAACAAAATAAGTAATGCAGGGTTTAAATACATATTATGTACATATTTAATTCATATTAACTACTAATATTTATTTCATTTAAGTGAAAGATTACGTCTCAAAAAGTTATATTGATTTTTAACCACAGAGTACTAAGTTTTTTTAAATAATATATAAAAAAATAGTCGTCTCTATAATAAAAAAAATATTCTTTAATTAATTTCAATGGAGTTCACGGCACAATTTTTTTTTATAAAATTATTAATTAAGAGGTATTTTAAGCCTAATTTAAATGGTGAAAGAAATTTCTTTTAACGGAAAGCAAGATACGATCGTATTGAACTTCAAATGTGTGTTTAAACCGCATTGGACATCAAGTGCTGAAACATTGCTTTTTCTTATATTATTTTATGCTTTTTGAACTGGTGTATTTGTCTCAAAAACTGTAAAATATATCTTCAGGAAATTAGATTTTAAATATTGATCTATTTAGATAAATTGTTTTATTATGCTTTGTATCAAAAAGTATATTCTATGATTTTGTCAAGAACTTTTTTTAATAATAAAATCTCAAACTACCTAGTGTTAAAATCAAAATTTCCATAAAAAAGTTCTTAATAGTCCCATTAGCTAATAATGCTGATGTCCTGGTAATAAGTTCTGAATCATTATCGGCAAAAATATTTAATTATTTTTAATTAATCTAGAAAATCAATCTTTAATGAATTCGAATTTTGAAAATTTGTTGCAAACAAAAATATTTAAAATTGCATTCCATAGAAAGATTTTGAGGAACATATATTAAATTTTAAACTCCAAATAGTTTTTTTATCCTTTAATGTGGAACGTTTAAAAAATTATTTGTGAAGTATGAATGAAAAACCAAATTAAAATCAATGATGCCATTATTTTTTTAATTCATAATGTTTCTATTTAGAAATATCTATTTAAAATACTTAATAATTTCTCTCCAATAACACTAAGGAGTACATTATCAATTAACTCCGCTATTTTTTAAGAATCCTCCATTATCGTTTCCCATTAAAACGAACTTTTTGTTCACGTAACAATTAAATGCTTGACTAACAAAACGTTTACATTCATGATAGTTTGTTTCATCCAAACGCTTATATCTATATTGTCTTTCAACAATAATAGAAGAGGGTTTACCATCCAAGACGTTCTTTCAACCAAAACGACTTATTTTTATGGGTCTAAGACCTATTTCGCGATTCTTCTCGGCGCCCCGTATCTCATTTCGCTTGTTTTACGACTCCAGGATTTGGTGGAGTTGAGAAAAAGAAATTCAGTCCACTTGTTTCTTTTGTTAAAAGTAGCCACTTAGGACAAGAAATTCCCTCCAAGAATAAGACGTGTCTTGCACGGTAATTGTTCCCGTTTTACTACTGGCTCTGTTTGAGAACAACACTTCTGCATTAAAGAGATAAAATTCCCTGCATATATTTAAAAAAGAATGCCCCCAAAAGAGGAGGATTTTAGTAGAACACAATAAAATCAGGCGACAACTTAGGGTTTAAAAAAGTATTTTTTAAATCTTATAAAACTTTAAATGAGTTCATTAGGGCTGCTTAACACAATAGTTTTTTTTCCCTTCTGAAACATGTAGTTTTTTTTCCATCATAAATGCAAGCAAATCATGTATTTTGGAATGTATTACACCAGCAATTATTTGAAGAAAAAAAAACAGTATTTGAACTAACTCGTATAAATGGTTTTTAATTTCATTTCTTTTTTACGAGGATAAATTCAGAAAAAAATATAAGCTCCGCTTTGATTTTTGGAATATAAAAAGAAGTGCTCGGTGTATCATAGATTACCTAGTATAGATTTTCAATGATTTCACTGAAAAAAGCACCATTGCTTTTTTGAGTATGAAAGTATGGTTCAAAATAGAAATATTGAAAGATCATACAGTTGTCAAAAAGAGGAAAATCTTATTTTTGTTTTGTCCACCTCCCTAGTATGTAATGTACTATGTTTGAATACAAAAAAAATTTACTTTTGTACTGGAATGAAAATTAACTTCCCCAAGTTTTTCATTTTGGTCCCAACGAAAAAAAAAACTTTTTTGACGACTGCATTTAAAAAGTTCCATTTCAGACTGCCTTACCCTTAAACATACCTCATTGACTTCAAAACCCATACCTTCCTAAAATTTCTCATTTACTCAAGTAGTGGATGTTGCAATATAGATATACACATTTTGACAATACGTAACATCCAGTTTACACAGACCAAAAAAAAATATGCTCAACACTATCAAATATGATAAAATTTACTGTCTATTCGGGATCTATGGGCCTTGGTAATTTTCACCGAAGTGCTTTGATATTGATCTTGTCAAATCTAACAAAAAAATACTTATGGTTTTTTAATATGAAATATAATTTCCTAACTTTATCATGATACCTTAGAGAATGGCATAAAAACTATTAATTTGCTTAAACTTATTTTTTAGTTTTGTATCGTTTTCTGAATGCGTGGTCATAAAAGAACTGTAATTTTGAAAACCAGAATTTCAGATAAAACGTTACTATAAGAAAGGAAAAACTACCAAACAAATGGTTCAAGTATAAGTATAGTTTGGCTTTAACCAAAATTATGTTTTTTTTCTAAATTTTATTACCAGAAATGTCATTACTATACAGTAAGATAACTTTAACTTTATCGGATTATTTTTTCTCCACCTAAGAAGTTTATTCTCTATCCGGCTTCTTTTGCTTGTCATTTGAATCGATGCATTGACCACTGAAAAGTTTTTTTCAGAATTAAGTGCTACGCATAAACAGTTTAAGAATTTAAGGTGTCAAGTAAAGAATTCCGTTATTTTTTTATCTATTTGAGTGAAAATATTCCCCTTTCTTATCAATTAACTAAGAAATTAACTTTACCTTACCAGATTAATATTGAAAACTCGGTGACATATAAATTTAATTTTTGAGTCGATTTGTTGAATCGTAGAAAATTTAAATAGTAAAAGCGCCCTATTTTATATATTGTAAATAAGTTACATCCTTTTAGCCGATTTGTGGAATGTTTTAGTTATTCACTGTGTATTTTTATAGCTCAAAATTTTTTTACCAAATTTTGCATTTCCAAATCAAATAATTTTCCTTTTGTCATGAAATTTTTTTGCTGCATTCAGTCCATGGATAAGAGAATATAAAAAGGAATTCAATTTAATGAAGAAGATAAAAAAATATTCACATCAGCGAATAAACATTTCTATTTACTTAATTTTTCATTATAACGTAGGTCCCTGATTTTTTTCTACTTGTAATTTTATCGAATTATTTTTATGAATAGTTTTTTGAAAATGGAGGAAAAATTAAAGTATTCATGTGTATTTTAATTTTAATAAAAAGTTTTCTAAAATTCTACTGCGTAGAGTTTTTTTTTCAAATTTTGACACCTGTTGCTATCAGTGTCTCTTACAGTAGTACGGGTCTTAAGTAGGCCTCGTGTATATCTCCAACAGTTTATATTGATATTTGTCGGCACAACTTGAGAGGTATATTTTCCTTTCGTCGATTACATCGTAGAAAATGCGCAGGTCATCTTGTAATTTTGACAAACTTAAAGAAATTTTAGTAAAATTTGGACTGTTTCTTATTTTCCATTGACTCTTAGTTTATACGGTCAATTATCTTCTCTTAGAAAAAAGTTAAACGTCCGTAATTGTAACGAACTTTATCGAACTCAGTAGAGCTGGCCATTAAATTTAACTACGAATTCCTTTTTTTCAAAGTAGATCTCGAAAGGAAGTTGCCATTGACTCTTAGAGCCTATTCGGTATGATAATAAGAATGAGCTGGGAAACATGCTGGAAATCTTGAAACTAGTTTGAAACCATAGTGAGAAGCAAAACAGTATGGTAGCTTAGTTAATTAGTTTCAAATTAAATACATTTTTAATAGCAATATCTTTATTTTTAATTTTTCACAATGCTGTGATGTGAAAAATATTGAAATGAAATATATAAAATTATGAAAAAAACATTATTTTAAATCAAATTCAACCAAAGAGTTTCATAACCAAAATCATTTAAACAGGAACTACTTCATAACTGAAACAGGAATTAATTGTTTTTTTCAAATCAAAATAAATTACTTTTGTAATTAATTGGGATTGAAACCGATTTATTAAGTCGAATATAATTATTATTATTGGTCTTCCACTTTTTAATTTTTTTTACTCCTCATAGTCAGTGTGTACACGCCCTTTTTTGGTGAATATAGCCTTCTGCTATACAATACAAAGTACCAGAGTTCAATTGCACCTGAGGACTGAAACATCTTCCTCACATTTCCTTCACTTTGTTGACAATGAAACATGCAAATTTCTCACTCTTTCACAGATACTACACTACTTTTTCTTGCAGTTAGTGGCCATATATTTTATGAGAAAAGTTGACCGGCCGGCCTGTACATTTATGATCATGTCGACTTTACGGTCATTATTCTATTTTTACGGTTAGTTACTGGAAAATTTTTTATGATCACTGACAGAAATTTAGTGGAAAAATTTCTTACATTGTAGTTGAAAAAGATTGTTCTGTTTTTATCTTATCCTGATAATTAAACATATATATATAGGCAACACCTGTGATCCGTTGTTGGATTTAAATTTCTTTAGGGTATACTAAGTCAATAACCTGATTTATCTCTGCTATT